CTTGTGAATAACAAAGAAAACCGTGTCAATTGAGAAATAATCATAGATATCACCTCATCATAGTTGGCTGCCCATTTGTCATATAAGCCATGAATTTCCTCTTCAGTGGTACTAGGGCTGATGTTTTTCAGCAGAGAATATCCATCAACAGAAGACATCTGAAGTGAAAGGAAAAGAGAAATTGAATATTCAGGATTTGATGAATACATGAACCCATTTTCCTCGCCACCATTATTTCATCATTTTTATAATAACATGACCGACACACTTAATATAACATATAACCCCTTTCTCATTTTTGTTCAATTATTCAATATTTCTATTTGATCACGTATCATTCTCTTGAGTCTTATAGTTCTTTTTTTACTAAGAATATACTTTTCATCTATATGGTGCAGTGATTTTCTATTTCACACCATGTGTCGTTCTCCCAGGGGGGGTACTCTGCCAGGATTTGGGTAGGGGTGTTCCGCTAAGATTCTGAAAGAGGTACCCTGTTTATGAGAAAAAAACTCAAATTTGTAGAGCCTGTTTGTGACAAAAGATATAATTAATTGCACTGAGTTCCTGTTTCAATTATGTCAGCTCACGTATTGTTTTTTTTTTTTTGACCACCATAATAACCAGTTTCGGTCGATACGAAAGTAGAAACCCTGAATATGACAGGAAACTTAGGAAAAACTTGGAACTTGAGTGAAATTGCATACCCTGTTAATGACAAGAAGCTCGAGAAACCATACCCTGTTCAGCAGATCATCCCTGTATAGTCCATATATGGGAGAAACCCCCCCCCCCCGGTTTGTTCTCTTTACTATGAATGCTTTTCAGCTATGGTGCTATGTTTTCACATTTTCCCAAGTTGTTATTTTGAGTATTATTTCTTTCAAAAATATTAACTCAGATCATTGGAATAATTTCTTCAGGGGCTACCAATCATGACAAAGGATTTCTTCAGAGGTTGAAGAGCTTTTAGGCTCTCAATTCTTCAGGGGTGTACTTTACAAAGCCCAAGTTCCTCAACCGGGGGTCTACGGATATAAATGCAATAGCCCATTTGACGGAGGCAGCCCACATGTCTGGTTGCATTGGTTAGTTATATCTAGTGGGATTGCGTTACATTCTATCTTAACGCGACACTTGCCTTCAATGATCACTTGCCTTCTCTACTAAGATCACAGGTAGCCCAAGCTTGGTTTCTGTGGTGTC